GGTGGCAGGGTGCTGGGGGGCAGTCTGCAGGGTGCATGGGGGGTAGGTTGCAGGGTGCGTGGGGGCGCAGTCTGCAGGGTGCATTGGGGGGTAGTTTGCAGGGTGCACTGTTGGGGGGAGCTTGCAGCCATGCTCCCCACACACACTGTATTTGGGGAGGGGACAGCTCCCTCCATAGCCGCCACCTTCACCCCACAACAGCACAGCACCCAGCAGATAGTGCCATGCTGGCCCCCCCAGTTGCAGCACTGGCCATGTATGCTCTAGCCCCAGCCCTTGAGAGGCACGGGCACAAACACGTCCTGGGGCAGGACAGCAGGATCCAGCCCTGCAGTTTTATTGACTCCAGTGTCCCTGGAGCACGTGGGTCCCATGGCATGGGCGTCTGAGGGGCTTCATTCATCCCAGGAGTTCCTGTCGGTGTCGATGGACACACAGTTGTACACAGCGTACCGCAGCATCTCCTCACAGGCCTTGGCCCTGGTGGGTTGGGACATGGGGTCATGGCCATGACAGGCAGCGGGAGCTTATGCTTCCCTCCCCACGTCACCTGGACATCCTCTAGGGCAGGACCTGGGGAGCCTGGAAGGGGACCCCAGTGCCAGCCCCAGGGAGGGGGAACATCCCTGTCCCTTGTCCCCAGCTCAACTCACGAGGAATAGCTGGGCAAGAAGAAGGTGCAGGAGCATGTGGAGGCCTGTGGCATCACATCCACCGCGTTCAAGCTTGGGAGAAAGGAGAGAGGGTCAGACCCTGGCACAGCACAGGGATCCCAGCCCGGGCAGGATGGACTCACTTTGCCCTTTCCGGGTAGACAGTGATCTGAACTGGAAGGCGGCTCCGGCCACTGACGAACTTGAGGAAGCGGCTGAGATCCTCTGAGGAGAAGGACAGGGCTCAGGGACAGGGACAGGACTGTCCCAGTCACTGCCATGGGAGAATCACCCCAGGAGCACAGGGCAAAGCCAAGGGATGCTCTGAGCATCCCAGGAAGGGCCAGGCAGGACAACCCCAGCTGAGTCCCAGGGAAGCACTCAGTGAGCATCCCCATGGCACAGGGCAGTGGATACCCCATCGCCATGCCTATCCTGCTGCACTTGAAGACTGGGGAAAGGCTTGGGGCTGCTCACCACTCGTGAAGTTGTTGAGTGCCTCCCAGAAGTTCTGGATACGGGTGTCATTGGGCGCAAAGTCCTCAAATGTGACTGTGACAAAGAACGTGCAACGGCTTCTTTAGACACTCCCAGCAAAGCAAATGAATGCGACATGTCCATCCTGCCCTTCTGTGGGAGCCCAGAGTAGAGGCAGGAGAGAAGGAGACCCTCTTGGTGAGCCCCTGAGAGCAGCCAGCACCCCTGAGCAGGGCTGGCACCCTCCACAAAGGAGGGTGAAGAAATAGGGGTCCCAGTTTGCAGGGTGGCCACTCATCTCTACCCATAGCAGCTGAGAACCAGAGTGGGGACCGGTGGGGTTTGCATCCCTACCCAGGGTCCCTCTGGCTTATCCTCACCCAGGCGCCCCACGATTAGGGGCTCAGCATGGGGCAGGATGAGTGCGCAGGACAAGCACGTACCGAACCTCCGCAGTTCAGACACAGTGATCTCAGGGTCCCCGCAGACCTTCTTCTCCATCAGCTGCCAGGTGAGCAGGTCCAGCACAGGCTGGGGCACCACACGGAGCAGCCCGGCACGCATGGCCGCGATCTTGGGGGGACACAGAAAGAGCCCCACGTCACTGAAATGGGTCTAGGCCAGGGCAGCCACTCAGGACACCAAGGTCAGGGACCACAGGACCCCAGAGCGGATCCCCAGGGCATCCTAAGCATGGGATGCATGGAGGAACCACCCAGCTGAGGCTGGTTTGGGGACACATTTTCACAGCCACCAACCCCACAGGTACCAGGATCAGGGTCCCCTTGGAGCCACACTGGCCCTGGGGCACAGCATTACCTGCTCCTTGCTCTCCTC